TTATTGTGGGCCATTCTTGTGCTGTTAGAAGTATAATTCTTCTACTGTTAGAAAGTAAGGCTGATTGTCAATGCCGCAATAGTCATTTGAATTTGAATATGCATATAAGTAGAAGGGCTCCAGATAGTCTGACCGCAGTTGTTTTTTCCAAGAGGTTTTTATTAAACTTCATACATTTTATAATGGTAGGATAATAAAGTTGCATTTTGTCTCAAATTATATTAATATGTCATGTTTAAGTTCTCATACAACTGTCCTATCTTCGGCGTCAAATCAGGCCTAAATAGATGTTTTGAGTTCAGTCAGGTACAAAAAAATGATATTTAACTGGGCAAAATCTTCCTTCTCCCTTATTGGCCCACCTCATAAAAAAAAAATCTGTCAAAATGTCACTGCAGTGTCTGAAGAATAGTCCAGTATATGCACTCAAACAAAGTCAGGATGACCAGAAAAGCTTCATGCAGCATCTTTCTGGACCCACCTCCCTTGTCTTTAGGGTAAAGGAGGAGATTCATTTACACAGGAGGAGGGTTTCCAAGTGGAGGAAAATGAGCAGGAGGCCTCTATTGCCTTAGGAATGATATAAGTTTTAACCAATAATTTTACATATGGCTACCAGACCACATGCATAGCACCATATTTCTGAAAGATGTTTTCACTATGATCATATGGTATAAGAACAACATGCGATCATTTGGAGTCCAGAAGCTAGCTGCCACTTTCATCTCTATGAAACAAGAAATTAAATCAGTACAGCAAAAGTAGCAAGATTCCAATTTTGAAAGTATTCATCCATTTGACAGCAGTGTTTACAAAGCCACTTATCATTTCAAATATTTCACAAGGTGTGGCCAGTCCATATTCTTCAGAATTTTATTTTTGTGTGTGGAGTAATTCAGAGAAAATTACTGGCAAAACAATTTTTGACAGAACCACAGAATATTTTTAATGAACCACACCTTGATGGTAAAACCTTCCTTCCTGAAAGAAGCTGTAATATGTGATACTTGCAAATGAATCAAAAGGAGACTGAAAGAGAGTTAAATCTGGTATTAAAAGAAGGTGGTAAAAAAATTACAAGATTACATAATTTTTGTAATTGACACGCAACTTTAAAAATTAATTAATAATTCAAAATTGTACTGCTCCCATTCTTAAAGGAAGATTGTGTCACATTATTCATAGATTTCAAATGAGCAGTTTCCACATTTAATACATAAACATAACGGTCTTTGGTGTTCATTGTTTTTGAAACTTCTCCTTCAATTGAGGCTTACGAAAAGCAACAACACAATGATAACAAATCAGATGTCGAAGCTACTTGTGAACATATCAAACTTCTAATTCTAAACTGCACTTTTTAAAAGAGGACTGCACATCATGAAAAGATGGTAGTGGATATAAATTAAGTGACTACCTGGCAGATTCCTTTGTTGTCCCAAGGAGTGTTCCATCTGTACTGAGTCAGGTAAGCCTCAAACAGAAAGACTAAAAGGAAAGAGGTCATGAGTGCCTTGCAGCAGGAAACCATCTCCTGCAGACAACTTTGTTTTCTTTTAACCAGGCATAAACAAAACTGGGTGTTAAAAAATTATTGCAAACCTCGTTTTGAGTATCTTGGTGGTCTGATGTAGTAGGGGATGGTCATTGCTTGAGATCACAAGGGAATGGGATGTTTTTTAAATGAACTTTGTTGCGATCAACTGAGGAGAGCAAGGAATAAAGAAGGGGAACTGGTTCAACTGTCCTCACCTGTGAGTTTGACAATTTTAGGTATAGAAACATGGAAACAAAGAAAATAAGAACAGGAGTGGGCCATTTGGCCCTTTGAACCTGTCCCATTATTCAGTTTGATCAAGGCTGATCATCCAAAATCGTAACCTGTTCCCATTTTCTCCTCATACTCTTTGATCCTTTTAATCCTAAAAACCGTATCTAACTCATTCTCGAAAACATTCAATATTTTAGCTTCCACCACTTTTTGTGGCAAAGAATTCCACACGCTCACTATTGTCTGAGCGAAAATGTTTCTCCCCTTCTCAGTCCTAAATGGATTCCTCAGACTGTGACCCTTGGTTCTGGTCTCCACAGTCATCAGGAACATCATTTCTGCAATTACCCTGTCAAGTCCTCTCGAATTTAATAGGTTTCTATGAGATCCTCCCCTCATTCTACAAAACTCCAGCGAACATAATCCTATCCAATCCAATCTCTCTTAATATATCAGTCTTTCCATCCCAGGAATCAATCTGGTAAACTCCATTGCACTTCCCTCACAATCAAGACATCCTTCATCAGATAAGGAGACCAAAACTGCACACAATACTCCAAGGCCCTGTACAATTGCAGCAAGACATCCCTGACCCTGTACTTGAATCCTCTCACTGTGAAGGTCAATATGCCATTTGCTTCTTCACCACGTATTACATCCGATCTGAAACTGTAAGAAATTGTGAACCTCACCCAGGAACTGGTTGCAACACAAGTTATTTGAGTTTCTTGCTATAATTTATTTAGAAATTCACACCATTGCAATCAACTATTCGAGTTACCTGTGATTCTTAGCTATGCTTAATCACAAAAATAAAAATTTGAGGGCAAGTCAAGCTATGAAATCATGCACTTTGATACAGTTTTGAGTTTGAACCAGCCAAAATATCTTTTAAATGATTGTGTGAAAATGTTGGTAATCCTTATCTATCTCAGCGATTTGATGTCACATTAAATTGAGTATTGAAACTCTTACTTTGATGACAAAATATCTTTTGGACAATTGTAATTAAATAAGGGCACAGTATGTGAGAATGTTGGTTATCCTTGTCTATCTTAGCTATTTGATATCACATTAAATTGTGCATTAAAACTCTTACTCTGAGTGACATTAGGGGAATACCTGCTTAACCAGATATAATTTAATTAGATTTGAAGGTAACCACTAAAGAATGAATAAAGAGTTGCATTTCAAAATTGAGATGCAGTCGAGAGGCACATTAAGCACTGTAAATAACAAGAGGAAATTATAAAAAAGACAGACATTGTGTTAGTAGACAAAAATGGAGCAAATAGAGCTCACTGTGGTGAAGTGTTGGGTTTGAAGAAAGACACTTGGGGTATTTTTAAAATAATGAGAAACTAGGAATCAAGGAAAAGCAAATGAAATGTCCATGTATGCATATCACTTAAGAGCTAGTGGAAACAGACAAAGACCAATCAACACACAATATTGGAAAGTTGTCCTTTATCTAAGGGAACTAGAAGATGAAGCTAAGGACATTATGCTTCAGTTATATACAGCCTTGGATAGTGTGTTCAGTTCTGATTATTGCCTCTCTGGAAGGATCTATTTAGAAGGTACAGAATAGATTCACCAAGTGGGTAGTGATGTAAAAGAAGTAATTTTGATTCCATTGATATAAATTTTGGTTTTATTTTCTCGAATATAGAAGTTTAAGAGTCATCTAAATAACGTGCTAAAATGGATAATCAGATTTAATAGCATAGATTAGGAGAAATTATTTTGTTTGGGGAATCCAGAACAAGAGGCATACTCTCAAAATAAAACCCAAGCCAGTTAGGAGTGAAATCAAAATGTACTTCTTCACTAAAGAGTAATAAAGTTGCCACTCTCACTTAAAAGTGGAAGAGACTGGACTACATGAATCATTCACAAGTGAAATCAATGGTTTTTGATTGGAAAGTGTAGCAAGTGATGTAGAGCAAAAATAGGTAAATGGGTTTGAGGTACAGATCAACTTTGACATAACTAAATGGAGAAATGAGAAAAAGGGACTGAATGACCTATTCCTGTTCAATTACCAATCAATGTGATAGCTATTTTACATCACTAGATGTCACTACTTCACAGCTACCATAACATAAGTAAATAATGTAAGATGGAAACAATTTTCCATTTGTGATTTAAAACAGACATTTACTCTCTTGACCACATTACTTTTAATTCTATGAGTGACAAATGTGGCAAGGACTAGCCTGCATTGTCTTCTCTTTCTGAACTCATTGAAGCTGTTAGTTTACAGGTAACCTTCTTGTTGCTATAACACATTGTGGTTTTCATTCAGCTGAGGTCAAGTCATTGTTTATCTAAAATTTTATCTTCAGTTTTAAAGACGCTGGATTCTGATGCAATACCCAAGCTGCGTTGAAATTTTTCTCATTTTTTTTTAATGGCTAAGGCGTTAATTGTAGTTTAAACAAGCCAAGAAAAATAAGATATCATCTGTTTTTAAAAAGCATAACTTGAATTGCATTGCACAATATTAGTACATGGATACAGAACAGCTTAAGGCAGTACCTTTGTGCTTAAAGATGGACTTACCAGGCTATGTTAATATCACTAATAATTTCAAAAGCTTTACATCTGGAATGGAATCTAGTTTAAAACCAGACATTTCGCTTTACAACGCATTCTGTAAAATTGTTGATGACACCATGAACAACTCTACGAATTTAAGGGTGACACAAGCAAGGCTAAATTCACTTAATTTCCCATTAAAGTTAGATTTTCAATTGGTCATAACACCCTTACTTTGGGAGGAAATGCAATACAACCAATGTGTCAGCTCTTGACTGCTGGAAAATAGATGTGTGGGAGCCTTGACTGTGGTCAAATGGCTTGCTGATGTCCAGCATTTGTGGTGACCCATAAAGAAGTTTCTGTCAGGTTTCTGAAGTGAGTTAAACTGGAAGAGTCATTTCTTCCAGAAAAAGGAAAACTTTGAGGATGAGAAATGAACTACAGTCTATGTATTTGTTGAAGGTGAATCACGAGGATCAAGTTTCCTCAGTGTCTACTACCATTTTGGATATTTTTATTGTAGAAACCAATCTTTGGAAATTTGAGTTATTTTATCTCACATGAGAAATTCCAGATAACATGAAAACATTTGTTTTTTTTTCTTTATAAAGCAATAATTTGTAAAGCTACTTTTCCTAGAAGTTTCTTCAATTATATGACATCTGTTTGCTTCCTTAATCCCCAGTACTACGACTGAACCATAGCTCATCAGACACCTCTGAGAAGAAAAGAGTTAAGAGCAGACTAAAAAAATTCATATCAAGGCGACCTTCACTGAAAACGTTACAAGAGAAAGGACTTATTAAAGGTAATGTGTTTGATTCTTACGTGCAATAGCCCTTCATTAAAATACACTGATGCACTATAACCTTTAATATTACATGCATTGTTTATGCATCGTGAGTGCTTCATTAATGGGTAAGCCCTAGACAACTTATGTAAAAAAAACTTTTATGACATTTGTCTTATGGACACAACACAATTGCCTTTGTGTTTCTGGTGCTGTTTCCATTTGTGGCAGTGTGTCACTACCACTAAAGGAAGGGAAGGAGACTAACTTAATGCAATATCCAGACATTGCCACATTGATTTTATTCCTTTGAAGACAGCATGTCTGTTGTGACCATCACACCATACTTCACTTTTGGGGGATGGTTGTAAATGAATGCCGCAATGTGCTTGACTTTTATTCTTACAATTTTGGGACTCAAGTTGAAATTCCGTATGACCCAGGAACATTTAGTTTCTAACATAGTTAACCCATATGGCCATGAATCTGAAGCGTAAAGTGGCTCCTGATTTTGTATTAATTGCCACAAAATTAGCTATATGAACGATGTTTAAACTGGTAGATGACAGTGTCAATAAAGCATATTGTTTTGTTCTGGATGATGTTCACATTCTGAGTGATTTTGCAGCTCCACACATCCAGGAAGGTGGAAGGTGGAAGGTGTTTTACAACATTCCAAATGTACCTTATAGGTGATGGAAAGGTTTTGGGGAATACAAACCTGATCCACTCACTACAGAATGGCTAACATCTGAATTGTTCTAATAGCCAGAGTATTTATTGATTTGAATGGATACCATTGCTTTCAAGCTTATTCTGCTGTGGCTGTATACATAGATCATGCCACTCATGTAGACTTAAGCCTACATTTTTGTCTATTCATGGATTCTATCCATCATAGGTTAATTTGAGCTTTGGGTTCCTGTCCTACACTATTTGAGGCTGTTCTATTCTGACCTTATCTGAGAATAACTTTCCCTCACTCTCAAATGAATCTTATAATCACTTTGTTAACATTCTAATATTTATTATACTGTTCATAGCTCCTCTAGTCCAGAATTTCCATTCTTCTCTTTTTCAAGTCCCGTTCACGTCATTGCTGATGTCAATGTAGTATCATTATTCAGATCATCATCATTAACATTAATATTATTAACATATTAATTTCTCATAATAATACTATCTTTGATCAATAGTGCCTTCCAGGCTGTTGATGTAGGGAACGCAGCGACGTAATGCCATTGAATGTGCATCCAAAAATAGTGAAGTCTGCAGCTAGGGTAGAGGCAGCCTACCCTAACCCATAGACTTCAGAGGTTTGGTCAGAAGCAAGTGCCCCCTCCTTGGCTTGAACTTCTACTGACAGAGTAAATGTGGAATGCCTGGCATGCCTGAGAGGAGAGTTCTGGGGTATTTGTATATGGTGCCATCTCTGGCTGACTGCCTCATGGCAGTGCCCTGTGAGGAAGGGTCGCCTGGAGTGAGATCAGTATCCCTCATCTGCCCATTAACTTGCCGTTATTGCTGAGCACCAAGGTTAGAGTGATAGAGTGCTGGCCTGTGCCTGTAAGGTGCAGACTGTAAGACCTGCCTCTCTATCGCAGCTGTTCATAGTCTCTTTCATGCCAGAAGCAGCATGGTGCATACAGCATTGGAGCAATTCTGCAGCATTTGTGTCGGGTCGTCCGGCACCCCTGACTAACTGGCCTGTTGCTCCTGTGTCTGCTTCTACACTTATATAAAGTGTCAATTTGATGACACCAAGGGGTCGTATCCTGCCTGGGACTGAGCAAGTGCTCAGTTTCCTGCAGTCCTCCAATTAGCAGCGATCTGGAGAGTTTCTCTCTCAGCCAGCTGCAGAGATACAGCAATGACATCTCCAGCAAGTGCTTTCGGTTCTAACCTGGCCAAAATACCCACCGAGATCTCAGCTTCTGAGTTGCTAGAGGGTGCAGGAGGCAGCCTTGCTGGTGCTTCCTCTGACGCATCCGCACTCTCTTTCTAAGAGCTAGGGGAAGGTGTATCTTACAAGGTGGCCCTCTTGACCATGGCCACTGTGGACACCCCTTTGGTGCTTGCAGGAGATAGTGTGGAGAATATTGGACCAAGAGGTAGAAGATGTGGCATGTTAACGTGAAATGCACAGTGGCTGAAATAGGAGCATGCCACAACAATGAGTAATGCATTGCAAATAATTGCTAGGACATGGAGATTTCCATATCTCCACAGGAGTATTCCCAGTCTTCACTAGCAAATGCTTTTGTTGTCGGTGCAAATCGTATCATTAAAAAAATGAGATATTTTTTTTTTTTTTTTTTTTTTTTTTTTTTTTTTTTTTTT